CAAAGGATTTTGGGCAGCCCCTAAGGATATGGAACAACTTCAAGGCTCCTCTGATGCTCAGCCTCCTCCTTAGGAGAGGGCAGGCAGAGAAGGAGGAGGAAAGGTGAACGCTCGCCCTGCAAGGCTCCTCTACCTCCTGATTTTCTCCTAAGGAGAAGGATGGGTAGAGGAGGAGATCAGGTGAACACTTGCCCTGCAAGGCTCCTCCACCACCCTGCTTTGTCCTGAGGAGAAGGCCAGGCGGCACCGGAGGAGGATGAGGATGGGCAAACGCCCACCCTGCAAGGATCCTCCGCTGTTCGGCTTTCTCCCAAGGGAAAGTCCGGGTGGAAGAGGAGAAGGACAGGCAAGGCTGCTCTGTTGCTCACCTTTCTCCTAAGAGGGCTGAGCAGAGGAGGATGGAATTAATATTAATAAATTATAATTAACATTAATAATTACTATTAATTAATATTATTATTTAATTAATGTTTAATTAAAATCTATCTGCAGCCCTAAGAAGTTTAGCCTATTTTAATTTTGGCCCCCATCTACTGCCAAGTTGTGCAGGCCTGCTCTTAGGGGACAGGAAGGATACACCAACACAGGTTGGAGGGATGTGGAGAAAAAACTGTATATTCGCATTGCTGAAATAATCTAGTTTGACTCCATTTGAACTGCCATGGTTCCATTTCCCAGAATTCCATAGCATGGAGCCATGGCAGTTGAAGTGGAGTCAAACCAGATCATTTGAGCAGTGTGGACACAACCTAGGCATCCCAATGTCAGGAATAAACATTTTCAGTCTTAACATTTAAGTAAGCAGGTGTTGGACTGGATGACCTCTAAGCCCCTTCTTTCGTACTCATGTTATGCAACCTGAGTATATTCTAACCCGTTAGGGAGGGAATCGAGGCTGCCCACCTTAAGTAGCTTGTATACAGAGGGATCTTGGACACAAACTGAGTGGTTTCTGGAAAGAGGTGCCCAGTCCGGGTTTCCTCAGATAGAAGCCCCTCAGTGTTCACTGGGGCATTCCCAGGTACACCTTCTTGCCACCTGCGTCTCCTGATGTTATAAATCTTGTGGAGTGCCAAGCAGGTCTTGTGGCTCTTCCAGGGCACAGAAATGGGCGGAGGTAGATTTTGCCAAGGCAAAGAGGGTGTGTGACTTGTGGCAGACGTATTCACTAGAAATGGTGCTGCTTTTCTTCATGCCATTGTGCATGGCGTCTTAAATAGGCTTAGGATAAGGGAGAAGAGGCAATTTGCATGACAGAGCTTTGAAGAGTTGTGTGTGTGTGTGTTTGTAGACTACAACTCCCAGAATCTCCCAGACACTGTAGGCTGGGATTTGAGGCCGAGGTAACACATTTGTGTATGCTAATAATCTGGGCCTGTGGGCCTTTTCATACTACACAACTATAGCTTTTCATGCCATTTTAATTCCCTTGGCTACATACTTTGGGATCCTGGGACTTTCAGTTTAGGAAGGGGTATTTAGCATTCTCAGTCAGTGAGCTCTAGTGTCTCACCAAACTACAAACTTTGGGAGCACATAGGATGCAACCATGGCAGCTAAAAGTGAGATCATGGTACTATAATTGTGTAATGTGGAAAGACCCTGTGTCTATGCTACCCCCCTCACCAAGTTAAAAGGCCTGTTTATTAAGTATTTATTTCTTTATTGCACTTCTATCCCACCTTTCTCTTGAAATGGGATCCAAGGTGGCTTATGCTGTGTTTGTTTCTTCTTTCCCAGGTGAAAAGCCCTATCACTGTAACTGGGAGGGTTGCGGCTGGAAATTCGCACGGTCAGATGAACTAACACGTCATTACCGCAAGCACACAGGGGTCCGTCCCTTCCAGTGCCAGCTCTGTGACCGTGCTTTCTCCCGATCAGATCACCTGGCTCTGCACATGAAGAGGCATGTGTGAAGCATGGCTGGCTCCATTGGGTCTTTTGGGTGGGATTGAAAATGAGAGGGATGAGATGTGGGTATCCAAAGAGACACTGGGGACTCCCATCATGAAGGGATATTCAACACTATTGTTGTTGTTGTTTTTTCCTTACTGAACTAGCTAATTTATGTATATATTAGTGATACATTTAAATATTTAAGGAGGAAGCCCATCTGGTTCTTCCACCACAATATGGGTAGGCTTTATGTATTTAAGAGTGAATAGTTACATAAACCTGGCTGCAGCAGGAGTTAGGCTATATGCGGGGGGGGGGGGGGGGGGGGGAAGCACTGGGAGTGTGTGTTTGGGCGGTATAATTGTGGCAGTGTATCTCTGCCATTCCACATCCCAAATCTTCAGTGTGCACAAAAAACATAGTGCAGATACAACACTGACTGTCACAACCTGCCTTAAAGATTTTAAATTCTTGTATGTTTTGCTCCACAATGGGTTTTCACTGTTACACACAGAGGCTTCTTTTAAAAAGGCTCTATCTCACCAAACTGCTTTTAAATGTTGACATCCTTCAGGAGATAGGCATGCACACAGAGTCAGATTGACTTGCCTAGCTTGCCCTAAGCTCTAGTCTCAATTACTTCTGAAATAAATTATGAATTAAAAAAAATGTTTCTGCATCCTTTAGAAGAGGGGTGGGAATTGAGCAGCCTTCCAGATCTTGTTGAACTGCAGCTCCCAGCATTCCCAGCCATTGGCTAGGAGGACACAAGCTGCTAGGTCCTGCAGTTCTATATCTGGAAAGCTGCCAAGTTTCTTCCCTTGCCCTATAAAAAACTGGGAAAGAGATTAAAAGAAAAATCATTGTTCATATTTTGCCAGGATCCACTGCTAGCATTTTTGTATTAAAATATTTTTAATGACATTTTGTTTCAGCTGTAAAGCTTCCAGCTTGGTCAGTCTGTTCAGACCAATGATGTAACTCCTCTTAAAGCAAGTAACATCCACCAATAAGTCTCCAAGCTGTCAGCAGTGAGTGTTTGGGATAATCCAGCAGAAGAAACTAAAGCTGTCACTTCTGGAACAGGCTATAAACCAAAATATAAATGCTGAAGAAAGACAAAACTTCTGCATGAGATGAAGTGTATAGGGACAAATGTTTTGCAGCCCAATCCTATGCATGTTTACTCAGGTGCTGCAGTCCTACACATACTCATCTAAGAGTAAACTCCTCTGAACTCAATACGGCTTGCTTCTGAGTAGGCAGAAAAGATTGAAGATTGGTGGAACTTGCAGTACAATCCTGAATATGGCTATCTGGAATAAGTTCCCATGGAGTTGAGTGGGCCTTAATTTTACATAAATGGGTAGGATTACACCTTGGTCTTAAATCAGTGTATTTAGGATTGCCATGTTAAAGTATTCCTCTTTTTTTCC